TAGTATGTTATTATTACGCTGCGTCTTTGTCAATAGTTGTTTCGTTGCTACTGTTATTATTATTAGGCCGTTATTATTAGGTTGTGTTTATGACAGTTTCATTGTCCTTATGAATGTGATGTGTCTATGGCCATCTATTGCATTTTAGTTTTGTTCATCGTTTGTATGATAAATGCAGAATTGTATAAACAAACATTTTATAAGAAAAAACAACTTTTATGTTTTCAGTTTCTCGGCACAATTCCCATACTATCTTGGCGCGAAACCTTACGCCTTATTTTCGGGTGTGAGGTAAATAGTAACGTCATATGCACACGTCATCTTTGCCCATTCGTTTCACCTTACAGGCCATGATGCGAGGCACCAGGTCGTCACACACGTTACAGGCCATGATGCGAGGCACTGGGTCGTCACACGTTACAGGCCATGATGCGAGGCACCGGGTCGATATAACACGTTACAGGCCATGATGCGAGGCACCGGGTCGATATAACACGTTACAGGCCATGATGCGAGGCACCAGGTCGTTACACGTTACAGGCCATGATGCGAGGCACCAGGTCGTCACACGTTACAGGCCATGATGCGAGGCACCAGGTCTTCACACACGTTACAGGCCATGATGCGAGGCACCAGGTCTTCACACACGTTACAGGCCATGATGCGAGGCACCGGGTCGTCTCACGTTACATGCCAAGATGCGAGGCACCGGGTCGTCTCACATTACAGGCCAAGATGCGAGGCACCGGGTCGTCACACACGTTACAGGCCATGATGCGAGGCACCGGGTCTTCCCACACGTTACAGGCCATGATGCGAGGCACCGGGTCTTCACACACGTTACAGGCCATGATGCGAGGCACCGGGTCTTCACACACGTTACAGGCCATGATGCGAGGCACCGGGTCTTCACACACGTTACAGGCCATGATGCGAGGCACCGGGTCTTCACACACGTTACAAACATGATGCGAGGCACCGGGTCGTCACGCACGTTACAGGCCATGATGCGAGGCAGCGGGTCGTCACACACGTTACAGGCCATGATGCGAGGCACCGGGTCGTCACACGTTACAGGCCATGATGCGAGGCACCGGGTAGTCACACACGTTACAGGCCATGATGGGAGGCACCGGGTCGTGTCACACGTTACAGGCCATGATGCGAGGCAGCGGGTCGTCACACACGTTACAGGCCATGATGCGAGGCACCAGGTCTTCACACGTTACAGGCCATGATGCGAGGCAGCGGGTCGTCACACACGTTACAGGCCATGATGCGAGGCACCGGGTCTTCACACACGTTACAGGCCATGATGCGAGGCACCGGGTCGTCACACACGTTACAGGCCATGATGCGAGGCACCGGGTCGTCACACGTTACAGGCCATGATGCGAGGCACCGGGTAGTCACACACGTTACAGGCCATGATGCGAGGCACCGGGTCTTCACACACGTTACAGGCCATGATGCGAGGCACCGGGTCTTCACACGTTACAGGCCATGATGCGAAGCACTGGGTCGCCACACACGTTACAGGCAATGATGCGGGGCACCGGGTCGTCACACACGTTACAGGCCATGATGCGAGGCACCGGGTCGTCACACACGTTACAGGCCATGATGCGAGGCACCGGGTCGTCACACACGTTACAGGCCATGATGCGAGGCACCGGGTCTTCACACGTTACAGGCCATGATGCGAAGCACTGGGTCGTCACACACGTTACAGGCCATGATGCGAGGCACCAGGTCGTTACACCTTACAGGCCATGATGCGAGGCAAAAGGTCGTCATACGTTACAGGTCATGATGCGAGGCACCGGGTCTTCACACACGTTACAGGCCATGATGCGAAGCACCGGGTCGTGTCACGTTACAGGCCATGATGCGAAGCACCAGGTCTTCACACACGTTACAGGCCATGATGGGAGGCACCGGATCTTCACACACGTTACAGGCCATGATGCGAAGCACCGGGTCGTGTCACGTTACAGGCCATGATGCGAAGCACCGGGTCTTCACACACGTTACAGGCCATGATGCGAGGCACCGGGTCGTCATACACTTTACAGGCCATGATGCGAGGCACCGGGTCTTCACACACGTTACAGGCCATGATGGGAGGCACCGGGTCTTCACACACGTTACAGGCCATGATGCGAGACACCAGGTCTTCACACACGTTACAGGCCATGATGGGAGGCACCGGGTCTTCACACACGTTACAGGCCATGATGCGAAGCACCAGGTCTTCACACACGTTACAGGCCATGATGCAAGGCACCGGGTCTTCACACACGTTATAGGCCATGATGCGAGGCACCGGGTCGTCATACACTTTACAGGCCAAGCTGCGAGTTACCCGGTCGTCACACACTTTACAGGCCATGATGCGAGGCACCGAGTCGTCATACACGTTACAGGCCAAGCTGCGGGGTACCGGGTCCCTGTACGTTTTATAAGTCATGATGCGATGCTCCAGGTTGTCGTCCAGGTTGTTAAAGGGTATGATGTGAGACTCCGGGGCGCCATACACATTACAGGCCATGATGCGGGACTCCGTCATGAGTTGTTGGATATGAAATGTTTTGTTCGGGGACACTACATGGTGTCACAACGGCATATCACAAAAATGGTTCATTTGAGAAAGGAATGTCAGTTTGAAGAATCAGTGGAATAAACGGGGCCTCGGACCTTGAGAATATGGCCAAAAGCGAGATCTGTGAACATGTACAAGGAATTGAAAAATATTCTTGCATTTTATTTGGTGAAGGAACCAGTTCGCACACGTCTAACTATATTCCGCCCTGATTAGCTATCTCAGTGATCCCGACTGAGACTGTGTCAACACTAAAAAGTTGTTTTCTTACGGATTGCTTCACAAATACCGAACTGCTTGACATGGCATGTCAATACGTTGAGAATATATTTCCCACAAGAGGATTCTTGATTTGATAGTGGTTTTACATTTGATACATTATACACCTAGCGTAATGGAATGGTATCCCGAAACGAAAACATGACCGAGACTGTACAGCACCGAGATTGTTGGGCAAATGGATCATGGTTATTAGAATGTTGTTAAATGTTATGACAAAATTGTAGTCTGATAAAAATGTAGGTCACTTGGTCTACAAATAAATATTTTTCATATTTGATATATCTACAATCTAGGTATATGACACAGTCCTTTAATGATCAGGTGCAGTTATTGAGGGTGTTATCCCTTTCGAACACTACTGGTTGTCTACATATTACGGGCCAAAGTCCGGGTTCGACTCCACACATGGGCACAATGTGTGAAGCCCATTTCTGGTCTCCACCGCAGTGATATTGCTGGAATATTGCCAAATGTGTCGTAAAACTAAACTCACTCACTTACTCACATACTGCGGACGTATCACATTTCCAACAGTGTCGACAGAAGATTTTCATGAGTTGTATGTGCAGGTTTGGTGTTGTTGACGTAGCCATTTGTCTTGTGAGGTGGTCAGGCTCGCTGACTTGGTTGACACATGTCATCGGTTCCCAAGAGCGTTGATCGATGCTCATGATGTTGATCACTGGTCCAGACTCGATTATTTACAGATAGCTGCCAAACAGCTGGAATATTGCTGAGTGCGGCGTAAAACTAAACTCACTCACTCATTTGTATTGTGATTAATAAACAGGTTAGTTATACGAAGAAAGCTAATTTAGTGGTGAGAAGCATTAGTGAGGGATATGGGTTTCAGTGATATTCAATGGATACAACAGTTGCTGCCGCGGACACATACCATGACTTCCTCATATGTCAGATCGTGTCCGGGTTAGAATGGATTTTTAACAACCCATACTTCACGTATGAGGCAACTAACGGGATCGGGTGGTCAAACTCGCTGACCTGGTTGATGCATGTCGTCATATCCCAACTGTGTAAGTTGATGTTCATGTTGTCAATCACTAGTTTCTACTGAAGGCTCACTTGCCCACTCGTCCATTAACCTTGCAACTTCTCATACTCTCACTCGCCTACTTTACAATTCAACATCTTATACGCTGCCGCACCTACTAGACTACTTTCCCACGAATCATCTCATGCGCTCACCAATGCATGTCTTTTTGAAAACTGGTGGAATCAAAATGATCGTGTGACTTCTGACACAAGTTTACAAACTGTCAGTTCCTTCTCAGTCATCTTGTCGCCTCACAGAAGAAATGCTGATTTGAGATAAAATATGGGCACCCGTCATATTTGTTAGGTAACTCGCAAACCAACAGACTTTTGACAGAAATCATATGAAGGTACAATCATATGAAGGTACATGAAGATCGTTTCCCCTTGGTATTGTGTGTTTGTATCATACAGTATAAACATATCTGTCGCTGTCGTGCATGCTACGAATACTGTGGCATACGTATGGTCGTGGGGGCTACTGGATACTACAGTGTAAGTATGACCATACTTGCTACCGGTTACTGTGGTATAAGTATGATATGGTAGCTACTGAATACTGTGGCATAAGTATGGTCATGGTAGCTACTGAATACTGTGGTATAAGTATGATAGTGCTAGCTGCAGCAGATCATTGTATAACTGTGTGTGCTCTGGCGTCTGGGTACTGTAAGACAAGTATAATCTTGCTGCACACACTGCTAACGCCTCCCCCTCTTAGTCACTCTCTGCCCACGCCTCCCTCATCTCACGACCCGTGTAGATCCGGGTAAGAATTGGTCTTCAGTAACCCATGCGTGTCGTAAGGGGCGACCAACGGGATCGGGTGGTCGGGCTCGTTGACTTGGTTGACACATGTCAACCAACAAACCAACTAACCAGCCCTGAGCTCACTCTCAGGCGCTGCTCACACTGTTGATCACTGGATTGTCTGGTCCAGACTCGCTTATTTACAGACCGCTTCCATATAGCTTGAATATTGCTGAGTGCGGCGTTCAACAACAAACAAACAAACACAGTCACATGACAGCTTGTTGATAACATACACGAAGGAACACGGAACCATCCATCACATGTTTATTGTCAAATGAACACTGTGAAACAGAGGGGATCACTTGGTCACATGATCACATCTGGTTGAGCTCAACTGGGCAACATATCCGATCAAAACCTGGCTGGGCAATAGGTACTGTCGTGTACGTGGCATGTAGCGTTAATCTGGCGGAAAGGTAAACGTGGCAGATATGGTCTATATCAGTGTTATCTACATTACCATTCTTGTGTGAAAATTCCATTGAAATCGTATGGGGTCAGAATCTAATAGCGTCACATTCAGCTCCGAAACAAATTCCTTACAGGAATCTTTGTTTCCTTAACTGAAGCACGTCGGTGTGGTAACGTCTTGTGATAGATGTATATACCGTCATCCAACGTTAACACTACATGCCAGCACACGATCAAATGATCATCCTGCGGATCGGACATTAGATGTATCTTCGACTGAGTTATTTAATGGACGACCTTGTAATGTTGGTGCAGTTTCTCCTGAGATATAAATATTATCACAAATTTACAATAGCTGAATTGTAGTGTCTTTGAAGGATCATTCGCGTCTGAATATAGTTCATGAAGGTGACTGTCAGAGAGGAGTGACGTAAACATCGCATAAGGATGACGTCAGGCCTACGTCATAGGGGTAGAGCTTGTGATGGCTTGAAACAATGGGGTCTTTCCCTTCCGGTCGCAGCTATGGTCGCTGACTCAGCATCTTACTTGCGTTTGTTCCTGGAAACGGAAAAAAATGAGAACGATGTAGACATGACAGTGAGTATGAGTTAGTTTAGTTTTACGCCCCACGCAGCAATATTCCAGTTACTAATCGAGTCTGGACCAGACAGTCCAGTGATCAACAGCATGAGCATCGATCTATGCAATTGGGATACAGTGACATGTGTCAACCAAGTCAGCGAGCCTGGCCAACCCGATCCCGTTAGTCGCCTCTTACGACAAGCATGGGTTACTGAAGATCAATTCTAACCGGGTCTAGATTCGAAAGAACGACAATTACAGGAATCGGTATGTGCATTTTGAGAATATTTTGCTTAACGCCACACCAGCAGTCTCGCAGCTAACCGCGGCAAGATGTGTATTCAGATTATAATCATGAAACCAGGAAATTTAATTCTGCACCCACGGCGTTTGCGAAAGGTTTTATATTTTAAATTTCCGGGCATCGAATACTCAAACAGATTGGGTAAACAGTACTGTGAAAAAAAAACTAAATTGAAATTGTGCTGATAGGTATTGATCAAACCCAAAATGTTGTGGTATCCGTTCTCCTAAGCTGAATGGCACTGGTTTGTTCTAACTTGAGGATTGAGAAACAAATATGCTGATATAGGAAAGTATTCATACGCAGTGAAAGGTCCAATTCATTTACCTAAATTTTGAACCAGTCAGATTCTAATCTCTCACAACCGTTAAGAAGACTTGGTAAATATCACATGTAGGTGCAAAGATATATGCAAAATATATTCCCTTCCTGATTGAATAAATAGCACGCATGCTTAACAAGACACTAATGACAGAAGCGGTCTCGAAATATAGTGCACCGATGAAGATTTAACAATTCCATTCTTCAGATTGCTGTTGATATACATGTTCAGTGGTAGGTATGAAATGTAGGTGCAAATACATGTGTAACACATTATCATCTCTAACTGAAAAAATAAAAGGCGTTCTAAACTAGACACTAATGACAGACTCGAAACAACATGCCCCGATGGAGTATTCAACGATTAACTTTTCTCAAGTCTGCTGTTGATATACATGTTAATGTCAAGTTCAAATATACAATATGGCGATCCATCTATTCTTGATGACTGTATATATACTTGTAAATCGGTTGCAAGAAGAAAATCCTCCACCACAAAATGCTGGATTTAAAGGATTTAAACCTCATTGTGATCATTTTGTTAATTTTAATCACTAAGTTAGCTCCTTTCTTTGATTCACCGTGAATAGCTGCGGCGAAACATAGCACTCACCCACCCACTCGTGTGATGACGTAACACACGAGACGGACAAATGTTTCTTAAAAAAGAACAAGAAACGGCTACGGTACGTATAGACATGCGCAAAAACAAACGCACTGTCGTCATATTCTCACAGAGAAAGTTTGGCAGTGTTCACAAATGCTTCGCACCCTTGAACGTGTTTGTGTTGCTATCAGTACTGTAATTCTCAACAAACTTTGTAATCCTTCACCTCAGTTGCAGATTCATTAAGAAATAATCTCAATATTCTACAGAGGTTCATAGCTTCCCGTGACCGTAGGCTTAATCTGGTTTGCAATCCCAAAGTTATCTTTGCTCAGGATTTAATACGCAAATGTTCCGCAGTTGTCCAAATAGAATTACATCAATCCGATGAGCATCAAATGGTCAAACGTGAATATTGACGAGGAGGTGTAGTTGACAAGAGAACGATGTAAACGTTGACAGAAGACTAATATCGCATCTCAAAGGAAGTCGCCATTACCCTCAAGGGTGCAGTCATTATTTAATTGTCACCCACATCTTTAGTCGGAATAAATCTGTTGGACTATAAAGGACAGGATGGGCATATTGGTATGTGTGTCGGCACGTTTCCCAACACACAAGGGAGAACTTGTTATTCATAACACGTCGCAAATAATCCGTCATTGGGGAACAACGGAGGCAAGGAAGGCTCCCTAGACCGGTTGTTGAATATGAAAAGTATCGTATTTGGACCTGTAATGTAATTTGGTCAAAACGATGCTCCCTTGACAATCTCCTGTCTACGCCAATGTGATCAGCGCAAGAAAAGCCTGTAGACAAATATGAAGTTTTAAACACGACGATGGAATCCATATTGAGCGCTTGTCATTTGAAGTTCTCAAACGAGAAGACAACGAGACGTGGGATTTTCTATTAGTGTGAAACCATCCATCGACATATTCTTTAACGTGCCACGGAGGAGATTGACGAATGATTTTCTACGTGGGTTGTTTCTGTATATTTGTGGAATAATACCCACACTATGGAATAAGCTTTTGAGTTATAACCAGTTTCAGGCAACATCCAAGTCTTGCAGTGCCAATTGAAAACAATTAATAACTCTAGCTGGACCAATAGTTCGCTGCAAGAACTGGTTGCTTTGGTGAAAATTTGAAACCTTGTTTCTCTGCAAATTTGTATCTTCAAAGCATTAACCATGTTTATTTTCATGTTTGTTTTCTGCTTAAAGCTCTGCTTTAAGATGTTCCTTACATGATAATCATTAAATACAAATTTAAAATATAAAGCGTGTTTTGCTTCATTTTGATATGTATTGTGTAACAATATTTGTTCTGTCGGTGTTTGTGTTTCGCGAACACCTAATGTTATGACTATTGAAGTAATTCATAAACACGTTCTTACGATATGCTCGGAACCGTAGATCATACTGTGCTTTCAATAATTTATCACGATTACCTAGGTAATGAGGTACCCAGGTAGATAAAACGTTCGTCCTTCACACCGAAGCCACGGTTCAATTCTCCTCACTGGTACAATGGGTTTGGTCAATTTCCGGTGTCGTCCGCTATGATATTGCTAGGATATTACAAAATGGCGCATAAAACCAACCTATGTATGTAGGAGGGGTTTTGTTTCTTTTCCTTACATTTTCGTGGAACAAGCCAAGAACATATCCATAGACACATTTGCAGTCGACCGTTCACAATAGTCGTAAAGGCAACAAAACATTGTCTAGACTTTTAACCCTTTGCACTGAAGGTTAGGAGTGAGACAGTAACGTTAATAGGTCTTTGCCCGTGACGGGAACAATAAAAGGATGGTGCCGTCTCTTACCATTAGGTATAAAAGCAGAAATAGTGATAAATAAAGGACAAGACTTCGAGAAGACTACATTTTACGTAAGTGGTTTTGATTTTTATCGAGTTGCATCCATCACGTTCACAGACCATGCAGACCATGGTGGCGCATCACGGACGTGACGTCACACCTCGTTACATTCTGCGTGATACTATAGATGGCGGGAAAATTGGCGTGAACACCGGGTTTTCGTACTAGGGTCTTTTTGGCGTGTTCCGGAAGAGTCCATTTCCATAGAACAGGGGGCGTCGTAGTGTCTGACGGGCAGCTCGCTGAGTTCAATGCGCCATGTCGATTCGACATGACCAATATGGCCGTTCACTTCAGTCACTCATTGTAAACGATTAGCTGTGTTTTTTACTGCCCAGATACCAGTCATCCGTGTGTTTGTCCGACATGAATTGTCTTTCAGAATAGAAATGTCAAAAGCGAGATTTTCCCTCCATTATAAACAGAAACCGATTCAATTGGGCGTAAATTGCGAAATAGTGATGAAAATCAGTAAAAACATGAGGTGTTTAAGAAAATGGTAACCATTTACTGCTCCCCAGGTAACTCTGCCATTACTTACCCAGTTTTCAGTAATTGTTGCCCAACGACACCCAGCAACTCTAAATTAGGAAAACATTTGCCTTTATTATGGACTGACCGAACACATAAAATTCGCGGGTTCAAATGTCAGTGCGTATGTTTTTTCATTATCTCGCCAGCAGTAGTTTTTCACTTTGTGGATTCTGAAATATCTTCCCATATGGTTTCCATTTCCATATTATTTCGGTTATCTTCATACAGTACGCTTTACAAAAGATGTGATTTTTTACTAACATATTCATTCCAATTTCGATGTTGACGTTTGTTTATTATTTGTTGTTTGTCAACAAAACAAATGTTACTCCTTATCACCTGTATGACTAAGTGATATGACGGCAGAATAAAACGAAAGAAACGAAAATGTGTAAAAATAATATTAACAAATTAACTGTTGCTTTTGGTGCGTGTGTACCACTTGAAGGTGTTTGCATCCATGTGACACGCGTGAGAACACCTGTAAGGGAATCACGTTCCATTGAGAAGGTGAGAGATATGACATACCACAAACATTTCCTGAAGCCAGGGACATTGGACTCCGTGCAGAGTCTGTCGAGAAGCCTGAGAACACTGCCGTCACTGCGTGTCTCTAGTTTTTCTATAGGAATCTCATACGATGAAGAAGCAGGCTCGGGGGAGTGGTTTGATGAATCTGCAAAAACAAACACCAGTTGAAATGTAAATCATTAAAATGAAGCTTCATGTATGTATGTAGAGTACCAATCTCTAGCTGAGCTCTCTCTCACGCTCCACTTGGGTCAGGTATCACAACACCGTATTTATGAGTACGATTTGGTAAGGGGTCGACCACGTAATAATTTTGTTGTTGCGTGATTGTTTTTAGTTCTTTTTACACACACTCATACAACATGTCAAATTCAGTACAACACTTCATTTAATTCAATACATACATAATGTTAGGTAAAACAGTTCATTTTTCAGTACAACCATTATCTTTAGTGCAAACTACATTTATTCAGTACATCTATCAATTTCACTTCTCCTCTTCAATGTTTTAAGTTCATTTTAATGTACATCTATCAATTTTAGTACAATCCTCCATATTTCCATTGTACCTATCAATTTCAGGACACTGCTTCTATGTTTTAAGCGCATCCAACAGTTTGTGTACAGTACTTCATTTTTGTCAATATAACACTAGTCTTCATTTAATCCAGCAAATCCATCAATTTGTGTACAGCACTTCATTTTTGTCAGTACAACACTTCATTTAAATTAGTACATCCATCACTACGCTTTTGTGGTACATCCCCAAAATTCTGTACAATACGACAATTTTAGTACATCAATTAATTTCACTACAACACTTCACTTATTCAGAACCTCTTTCTTGTTCAGCACATCAAGCCACTCCTGTGCATAATCCACAAACACACGTCCAACGTATTACTTTAATATCAACATTACATCGGCCATGCGAAAGTACGCGAGAGATCTATATCCCTTTCTAACGTTGACAGCTGTAACTAAACAATGTCACACCTGAAGTGATGACGTTATAAAAATGTCTATAAGGAAGGTCACTGCACAATCACAGTACGACATTAACTTGATCAAAGTAGTCTACAGTTATTACGGTGGTTATGGACGCGTGTGTTGAAAGCGTCTTTGTGTAAGTGCACGTTTATCTATAAGTTTGACGTTTATCTTCAGGACTAAAGAAACGCAATGATTATTCTATTGCTTTGGGTTACCGTCGATTGAGTGGGATATGAAATATTTCATCTCTGTGATATGTAACAGGATTTGATCGATGTCAAATTGACAATTCAAATACGCTAGGACTCAGGAACCAGGATGATAGTATTCGAAGCTTAAAGGTTATCCTAAGAGTTCTTTTAAAGGTTATCTCTCGTCAACTGCTGTCACAGACATTAAACGTCTTACCGGAGTCAGTAATGTTTCATTTTCTGGCCAACAAATTTCGCGGAAATGTATGCATATACTGTTGAAAAGACGTCAGCCATTCCGCACTTGAGACTAACATTCCGCTCTTATGGTTTTGTCTCCCTGAATTAGAATTAGAATTTTTAACACTTTTTTTCCCGAATAATTGAATGCAAATAAATAACGGAGATCAAGATCGTCAAGATTTTTATATAACGGATACCTTCAGCAAGTTTTCCTGATGCCATCTTTGGTCATCACGCTAATTATGAGGTGCTTTGGGCCTTCACCCCAATGGGCGGTTTGAATTGAATGAAAATCGTGAAATTTTTAAATACCGTAGTGATGAACCGAAAAAACACATGTTTGTTGAAATTAAACCCAGTGGGTGTCATTGATGAAGATGTACATTTTCCACCTCCGTGGTGTAGTGGTTAGAGCGTCCGCCCTGAGATCCCCGGTCGCGTCATACCAAAATACGTTAAAATATGGTACTTGTTGGTCCCTGCCTGGCGCTCGGCATTAATGGGTACAACAAGGACTGGTCGGCTCGGAGTCAGTATAATGTGTCTGAGTCGGGTATTCATGCTTCACCGCGGCATGGTATCTCAGTGGGCTAGCACTATAAAACCAGCTTAAGTCTGGACTAGTACAAGCAGCCGCACATACACAAACACACGCATGCACGTCGTCATATGAGCGAAATATTCTTAAATACGACGTTAAACCCAATTTCTCCTCACCTTCACCATTTTTGTACGTTCATTGATTCCTTTGATATTCTTTTTAGAAATTTGATCATAAAACAACCATTCAAATGCATGAGGAGTATTGTTTCTGCTATTTTAGCATATCCATATTTTTTCAAATAGTGACGTGTCCCATGGGCATTACCAGCATCAATACGTTTGTACGGTTTTCACGTTGAAGAGAAAATCCGCGTTAAGGTATGATTGACATAACTCTTTTCACATGAAATGGCGCTTTTTTCACTCAAGTGATTATTCCAAACCTTTAATTGGGTTACCATTTCTTCCTTTGTCTGATTCCTTCCTGTGTGAAATGTCTGTTGTAGGAGGGTAGATTGAATATATGTAATTATATCTCACTCGATAAAGCTCCATTTGTCGTCAAACGAATTCTTACGAAGTACATTTTTGCATACACTATTGTCTCGGTCCATCCTGTGTGAAATGTGTCTCGAAGTTGAGTAGATCGAATGTGCTTAACTACACGGCGTTGCTCTAAACAGAATCGCCCAACTAAACACACAGATCGACCACTTCCGGCTATTTTCGTAGCTCCTCGTGTTTGCTGCCTCGAATGACGTCATACCCTTCATCCGTGTCTTTGAGAAATCTATTCCTCTCACTGAAACATGTTGCTCCGGGTGGTATTTCGTTCTGCTTTCCTTGCCATACGATTGTTTTGGTATTGTTTTGTCGAAATGTTGAACGAAATCAGCGAGCCCACCGCCAACCGGAAGTTTGCTCCAGCAGATCGGAAACTTAGCATGTGTCCACCATTTTGAATTTCACGCTTCTGTTCATTTTTGTCTGAACAATGGTCCCGTTTTGTCGGACTAAACGTTATCGCGATTACTGACTAATTCCCTATTACCGTTATTGACAGATTCAATGTCTTTATCGTGCGGTTATTCAGAAAAGTACTTCGGGGAGGAAACGTGAAAGGCAAACATTGTATTTGCCATATCGACGTTCAACCATGTTGTGTGAGTATCAAAAGAAACGATTAAATGTACAATATCGTTCTTTTCTCTCTGGTGTTGTAGACGGCGGAGGCTACGTCACTAGCACGCTCAGCCAGGAGTGATAATGTTCGACTTATGTACTACCTCCATGTTGTTTAATCGTCATGGGTATTTCTCTTAAACAACCACACAAATGCATTTCCATAGCGTTCGATGGGGAAAAAATATATGTCAAAGCGTTAAAGGAAAAGTGTGTTAAGGAATGGCTCGAAACCGTAAAAACATAACAATGACACATGCTGTCAATGGTTTGTTTTATCAATGACAGCCATGTTTGTTCCTTGCATATTGCCTGAATATATTCAAGGATCAAAGTTATGATTGAGATGCATATTCCAATTTGGCCAATCAAAGGGGTTTGATGTCTCTTTCCATTGTAAAACGAGATCAATGTTTTGTTTATATGTCGACGCGTCATCAGCAACGAAGTTTTCGAGTCAGTGGTTTGTCTTGTCCAGTCTCTCTATCACTGGGCTGTCTGATCAAGAACTGTTTGTTCACATACAGCCGACTTTGGCAAGAATAATGCCGAACAGGGGTCGCCAAAAGCGAGCACGTACTCCTTATGGAAATTGTGTAAAGGAGGACATGATTAACATTTTCGCGAACACCTAATGTCAAAACTGATTTTCAGTGATCCGTTCACATTTTGCCTTTTACTCTCCTATTGGAAAACGGTTCGGGTGATAATCGAAATTGGTTAATCTGAAGTTGCCTTTTCATATATTTTAAAAAACTATTAGATAGTAGTGATACCAAGTGTTCATGGTAATAAGAGTGTATCCATCCCAACCAGTGGCACCCGTACAGACACTTGCAAAGCCACGGCAATTGTTCATATGGCCTTGTCAAAATGGGGAATTGCGTAGGGTATCATTCAGTCACTGATGTCTTTTATTAGGAAATGCCCTCCAAATTAATACCAAATAACCTTTAGAAATCTTACCCGCGACCTATCATGTTTTTACCGTGATCATTTTTTAGCAAACTTAGTATGACGCTCTTTGAACATTTCCAAACGAACATGTCAAACTTAAAAAAATGAACATATCAAATGCTTTAGCTGCTAAAATATTGCTTGACATAAAGACAAAGTTGATATTTTAGAATTTAAAAGCCATCCGTCTTGCAACCTGTCTATTGTATCACACTACTGTTTCATTATTGTAATAGGTAATCCCTGAGGTCCACAAAGGAGCGCTGGTTTTCATGTCAATGAACATAAATTACTGAACCCGGACCGTGACTGGTGCCAAGAATGTCTGAACAACCAATATTGGCCCAAAATGCACATGAATTATTTAATGACATGTCCATCAAAATGTGTGTTATAATTAGCCTTTGAATCTTGGTATTGTTTCTGGGTCAGGATCAAGAAGCAAATTGCTGATGGGTGTATGCTTAATCCTGAATATTGATTTTGTAAAGCACTCTTCTTAGATGAAACAGATGAACGACACTAGTCAACATTTCCAGCTGAATAAAATGGTTATATTATTTAAGATTGTATGATTAGAATATGATCAAAAGGACCAGTATTATATAATTTTAATTGCATAGCTCGAATTTGAGTCCCTCCTGCATGATCAAATTACCCAGCAAGTTAATTTTAGCTTCCTCCTAAAAACGAAAGTAGACACATGTTTATATCTAGATCTGTATACTGCCAATTACCGAATCTCACACTCACGTACGATTCTCACACACATTTCTATGTAAACGTTTCTAAATAATGTGGTCATATAACGGATTCCTGAGCCGTTATCTGAACCATGTTTGAATGCCTGCTGCTATCATCAGAATTTGATAGTTGATAGATGAACACGTGTTCTTGATGTTGTTGGAATAGTGCAAAGATTAATGATTAAGGGACACAGGATTTGTCGCTTTCATCTTAATAAAGTTATTCAGGTGGGTCGTTTAAGCTGTTACCAAGTGTAGAACAATTCCGTCTTGTTGTCTTGTTGTCCTCTTTATGTTTTAACTGTTACACTGGACGCATATCCCCAAGCTAGGAGTTAATGCACCGCACAACATTATCTCTAGGAATATGCTAGAGCCCAGTACACTAACACTAGGAATGTACTACACTACAGGACACTAACAATAGGAATATACTTCACTACAGGACACTAACACTAGGAATATACTACACCGCACAACATTACACTAACAGAGGTGTGGAACTGCGACACGACATGGACTTTTTATATAATTTCATCCATGTTTGAGTTGTGTTTTTGAGAGTGTGAAGATTGTTCTAAAGTGGGGACGCCGAAAGCATTATGTCTGCTGTGTGAGTGAGTAAGGTCAGACCCAACATTGACAAGCACCTGGGTAGGGGAAATCAGGAATAACGAGCCTATGAAGAATGGAGAACATGGAGAATCAAACTACTCGAGTCATCTCTTTGTCAACTGGGTCGCTAAACTGCTATACCATTGAAAAGAAACAGGTAGGATGTTCAATCTAGCTAAGTGTATGAACTTTCAACAATAATCGCATTGCGGGTGTGGTCGGGTAGCCTTATAGGTAAAACGTCCGCTCGTTATGCTGATTCCCGACATGGGTCCAATGCGTGACGCTCATTTCTGGTGTCCTCGATATTGCTGGAGTATTGCCAATTGTGGCGTAAATCCATACTCACTCACTCACTCGCATGGCGTATTTTGTATTCTTTTCCCGACTTTCATGACCTTATGTTTGACATGTAATTATGAAAAATGCTTTGTTTTTCTAAAGGAGCAATGTGTTTGACAGGAGTGAAAAAACATAAAAGCATGGTTCGTTCATAGACTTTTGTGATGGGTCAAATGTTGTTTTTATCTTGTATGGATGTAATGTTCGTTTCCAGACTTTCAAGATCTTTAGTAGGAGTAAATCGTGAAGTCACAAAACAGACATCTTGCTCATGATTCAGTTTTTACTGCACTCGCAATTACGTGAAAACATGATAAAATCTAATACGAGAAGACAAAACCGACGTCTCAGTCGTTCTGACAATACGTTCCTCACGAACGTGGCAGCGGGGTTTTTTTGTTTGTTTTTTTGTTGTTGTTTTTTGTTGTGTTTTTTTGCTTTACGTTGACAAATGCCTGATTCAGCATATGTATGCGTTTTTTCTAAGATGCACAATGCACGACTAAAAAAACTTTAATGTTGTGTTCGCAAAGGCCGTACAACAATGTCAGTGTCAAACAAATACCTGATTCAGCATATGTATGCGTTTTTTCTAAGATGTACAATGCACGACTAAAAAAACTTTAATGTTGTGTTCGCAAAGGCCGTACAACAATGTCAGTGTCAAACAAATACCTGATTCAGCATATATATGCGTTTGTTTCTAAGATGCACAATGCACCAATGCACGACTAAAAAACTTTAATGTTGTGTTCGCAAAGGCCGTACAACAATGTCAGTGTCAAAAATCATGCCGTAGCAATATAGAGGGTTTCCCATCGTCTTTCGTTTAAGGTCGTTACGACGTTACAGCAGTTACGGATATTTTGGTAAAGGCGTCAACTGACATAAACGACACGACTGTGTCAGAAGAGGGATGAATAAAACTTTCCCACAGTCAACTTTGCTACATATCGAGTTATATTCCAGCCTTTTGTGTCTGGATTTAAGATAATCCAGCATGTTCTTTCTTCATAAATTGCAACATTGTGCAATTCTTAATCAAACGTTGTTTGAGCAGGGTCGCAACACACAAGTCTCATGGAAGCTTTCAAGAAGTTGCATGCAAGACGTGTGGAAGACGTTTCCACTTTTGGTGCATTAGTGAGCGAGTGAGTAACTATGGTGGACACCAGAAATGGGCTTCACACATTGTACCCATGTGGGGACTCGAACCCGGGTCATCGGCGTGACGAGAGAACGCTTTAACCACTAGGCTACCCAACCGCCCCTGGAGCATCAGTGACAAGAATGACGTTCGATGTAATTCCCCATTTGTGCCATATATTCCCGTTATTCTTTTAAAGAACACTTGATTTCCTCTGTGTCCATTGTTGACAGCTGCCATCGGTCGGACAGAATAGTCTTCACCTATTCTCAAACACCGGGTGTCACATCCTTTTTTCTAGCTCACGGGGATAAGTCAGTGGATATTGGTATTGACCGATATTGAAGGCTATCACATCAGTGATCTATCTTGAGCTTAATCAGTTCCTTAGCTAAATCCCATGTCTATCAAAAACGTCAGGAAAGTATTTCTAAGGGTTTGAATGTTATAACCATGACATGTAACGATAAGTGCATTTGTTGCTTCATTATTACGTTAACATATATCTCGCTATATGTTGTTCAGTATACATGTTTAAGTACGAGTCGTTTAAGGTTTATAATTTAAGATCTGTCATGTGTGTCATGGTTGAAGGTTTAACTGATTTCTCCAAACCTTGCTAGACGGAATCTTCTAGCCCATTGCCACCCTTTCTTGAACGCCAACTTTGTTATACAAGGCGTTGCAAAGCGAAAACCGCTGCAAAGCAAAAACCCTCCATTCTGTCTCTACATTCGGCTTTTATAAAACAAAATGTGTTCGTTTGAATAGATAAAATGGGATTTGGATTCTGTTTAATAAGATTTATAAATAATGGCCGAGTATGGAATATACTTGCCACTGATCTTGCTCTTTTCATCATTTTCAATGGGTAAATGTCATGTGTTGGACAAAATATTCCTTAGTTCACGGGTCCCTTGCACGAGACGCAGCTAATACCCGTATGTAATTACTTCATAATGAGTGGAATATTGGTCGATAATGATATCATAACCCCTGTTGGTTTCTGGACTTTCGTCCTCCTGTACCGGCAGGTGGTCAGAAACTCTACATCATCTGTTATGATTCGTTATTGATTATAATTAAGTATTAGAGCCTTATTAATTACCTAGTCTCAATTAACTGACCTGATCACCCTGTGAGCTCACATGTGGGAAATCTACTAAGATTTTTTCTGAAGAAATCATCTATTTTTAGAATTAATCACTGTGCTGACTTAAGGAAAGTAATATATACGAGACAAGAAAACATCCGTTGTTAATTTATTAGTAAATTACATTTAGTCCCGAACAATAATGTTTGGTGGAGACAGTCTGGTGTAGATGCTACATCAACATAAAAGGTTTAGATATATATTATGGGAACACAAGTCTCGCAGAGAAATTCAGGTTACGTCAAGCAACCGATGGAGATGCTTGACCAGAGGGTTAACTTGTATATGATACAGGTTATTATTTGAATTCATTTAACTTTAACATAAAATGTGGAGATTCATTTGAAATCCAAAGAACGCATGTGGGAATGAAATTGTTTCCGTATTTATATCACTGTGTAAAATAATGGCATACTGTTCTTGTTGCCACAAAGCTAAGATTTTCCTTTTGAAAAAAACACAAACAAAATAGGCCAGTAATTTAATCAATGTGTTAAATGTGATGATAAAAATTCGTTTAGAACGAAAGAACACTTTCACTCTCTTTGTCAGTTGTAAACGCTTTATGATGCTATTGTCCACTTTTGTTATAAAAGACCCAATCACTACTTTCAAAGGTGTTCAATGCTGTAAATGGTGCTGTGGATATTTTGGAATCGTGACAAACGTCATGTTCCAGTACATCACCTCTCAACACGGCAACAACTTCATTCCAGTTTGCGTGGATTAAATGTAACTGGACCTTTCGTCCCTGGACAGTACATACATGTAACACAGTCTTGGGTTGTCTTTAAAGCTGGTAACTGGGTATAAGGTGTCCGCGGTAAGCAAATGATCTGTGCCAAATAGGGGAATGTTAGGTAATTATTTAGTAATACTGCTATAGCACATGCCAATCTATGACTGCCAGACTGCTTGTTGTTTAATAATTCAGATCAACACCTACCTTCGTTTATAAGAAGTGGCAAGTTGTTTTGTACCCTCTTTCCAAATCGTCCTTGAGGCCTCCACTGAGGTGCTCCATTTCCGGTTGTGAAGGTCAAAAGAAGGACAGTGGTTATACAGAGAACGATCTCGGCCAACTTCATTATCTGAAAAGCAAACAATTAATTTAAACATATGCACCAACACCTGACATCAATCAATTACTACCACGAAAAGCAATACATCTCATTAGAGGGAATACTTTCGTAAATGTGTATAATTATGTCCCTTGGATAATGCTGTTTATGGAAATATTGCTCTAACGTGAGTCGTGGAAGTCCGTAGGGTATAGTACCGTCTAATTACTTTGCAAACAAATTTGCGGGAGGACATGCTATTTCAGTATTGGGAGCAGTTTCGCACATTCCAATTGCCTTTATATACCAAAGAACAAAAATACAAGACCATTCAATTTGGTTTTGCACTTTGTTACGCTGGTTTAAAATACCAATGTGGTTTTCATGTTCATCCATCTGTATGTATTATATGCATAGTTTGTTTTAATATTTTCTGACTCAATGTTACATACAAATTATAGATTACTATGCGATTCACTAGGATATTGCAATTTTGGGGACTAGCTGTCATATTTGAAACAAAGTACACTTTATTATATCTTTGTTTTGAGATTGTACATCAAGAATTATAAATAGAAATGTTGATGTCTTTCGTTTACTCTGACGTTAAAAATTTCTTGAAATGTCATTTTAGATATGAAACTGAAAAACATGGCTACATATATCGGGTTCATTTTTACCAACATGTGTACTTCTGTATTTACCAGTTTACCCGTGTACTTGTTTTTATGTGGTTTACCTATATGTGTCGTTGTATATGTACTAGTTTATAAATATGTGTACATGTATCTATTTACGTTTATATATATGTGTACCTGTTTACGTATTCGTCTATCAACATATGTTGTGTGTATTTACCAGTCGACCACATTGTGTACTTGTTTATTTTCCAGTTTACCAACATGTGTCTATGTCTATTTACCAGTCTAATAGTATGTGTATTGGTCTATTTGGCAGTCTACAAACGACCTGTTTATTTACGACTACCCAGAAATGAACATTTACCAGTCTACCAACAAGATGGGGCGGTGGAGTAGCCTTGTGGTTAAAGCGTTCACTCGTCACTCCAAAGGCCCGAGTTCGATTCTCAACATCGGTATAATGTATGAAGCCCATTTCTGGTGTCCCCCGCCGTGATATGGCTGGAATATTGCTAAAGGCGGCGTAAAAATAAACTCATTCACTCACGATTACTTGTGAACCCGTCCACAAACGATGTCTACCAACATCTTATTTAAGTCTACCAACATGAGCTGTTGTTTATATGCTAAGCCACAAACATTTATACTTCTTTATTTGCCGATCTATTAACACGTTTCCATGTTTATATTACAGTCTTTGAACATATTTTGTTACAAATTAGGAGTCAATAAACATTTGTGTTCATATATGCCTAGCTTACAGCATGTTTCCTGTTTATAAGTGTTCTTGTATAAATGAGCTAAGAGATAAACCTTTATACCGGGATAATCTGAAAACAGCCCTACAGGCAAACGCCTTCCTCCCTGTGACACTTTATCGATTGGTACGTCCTTCGAGGACGTACCATGAGGACGTTCTGGACAAAGTGGTTGACAAGTCATCACTATAATCTATTTACACATATTACCCAATTCCCCGTGTTGATACTCAGAGAGAGACGTGTTATGTTCTAGATGCTGAAGGCCATACTGAAGTACATAAGGACGGCAACCTATACTAAGTAGGTTTATCTTTATAACAGTAAAGCGACGCCTGGGTTAAGGTATCTGCTCATTGTCAGGGTTAGTTTCATGCATGCTTTCACAAATTTCAGTTAAGAAAGTTTTTAGTCATTTTGAATTGATGTTACTCTTTTAAATGCTAGTCTATTCTTAATTATTTAAATGGAAAAATTTAAACTTTTATAAACTCAATAAAAACTTTACATTTTACAGTAACAGTGAGGTAATTATTAACTATTGTAAATATGCCCAGGGCAATATCCATTAAAGTTATGTGAAGTATTTACAAGAGTTTCGTGTGGGTGAAGAATGATTCTTTCCATTCATACACATGGACCTCCTTGCCTGTGAGACAGTTGAACACATTCACACCCAATGCTAGTAACAGGCCTCAATACTACAGACACGGGTCGGTGCAATAATATGACAGATAATAACTTCCCTTGGGATTCCATCTGAATGAGACACTCTAATGCGAAGACACTCGTTAATAATTAAAAGAGGTTTGATTGATCTATATTAATGATGTTTTGACCGAGAAACTAAAGAAACAGGCCTTTGATGTAAGCAAAGTTGTCATATTAGCGCCTTTCTCTGAGAGCAATTCCGTGGGAATATTCAAGAAATGTTATGACATATAATGTTTGTCGTAACAATAAATAATATACCTAGAGAGGCTGTAACCTACATGAGTTTCACGTCTCATGTTGTCTTTATTTGACAATAATTCTTTACAATACGCATTTGCAAGAAGCTGGAATCCCTGTGGAGGTGAATTATGATCCTGCCTTTGCTCATTTGTTTCTTTATGCATAAAGAAAGGCTGGATTGAATTCCGTTCACTGATTAACCCACCTGCGCAAGAAACGGGGAGACCAGCCTCAGTTATGCTCTTTTCTATGGACGCCAGCGGTTATTGATGTAATCATGTGATATCATATATCGTCCAAAAATGACAGCGTCAACCTTCCAACAGTCGACTTCATCTTAAAGTCGAACTAAATTCCGGCAGCTCAAACCTTTCATGTCTGCAGTTTACAAATTTTCAGGAGCAATCGAGCATGGTTTTCTATGATGATTTCAAAAGAGTCATGTGAATCTGGTTAAAATGTTTTGATACAGTAATCAAGGCCTTTCAAAACGTTACATACTTGACAAGTGGAGGACATTCCTAATTTAATGGATCATCGTTTCAGATGCAATTTCCTGTTTGTCTTTTGCCTTATGATCCCGATGTTTTCAGCTGAAACTTTGACTTTGGTTATGATTTTGTCGGAATCGTAATCTTACAAGGAACAAGTTACTTCTGATTTAGTCGGAATTGTGCAAGGAACGTATGTTTTTGTCGGAATCGTTCAAGGAACTTATGATGTTGTCGGAATCGTACAAGTATCTTAGGATGTTGTCAGAATCGTACAAGTAACTTATGATGTAATCGGATTCGTACAAGGAAGGTATGGTGTTGTTGGAATCATACAAGGAACGTATGTTGTTGTCGGAATCGTTCAGGAACTTATGATGTTGTTCGAATCGTACAAGGAACTTAGGATGTTGTCGGAATCGTATAAGGAACGTATAGTGTTGTTGGAATATTACAAGGAACTTATGATGTTGTTGAAATCGTACAAATAACTTATGATGCAGTCGGAATCGTACAAGGAACTTAGGATGTCGGAATTGTACAAGGGACTTATGTTGTCGGAATCGTACAAAGAACTTAGGATGTCGGAATCGTACAAGGAACTTATGATGCAGTCGGAATCATACAAAGAACTTAGGATGTCGGAATCGTACAAGGAACTTATGATGTCAGAATCGTACAAATAACTTATGATGCAGTCAGAATCGTACAAATAACTTATGATGCAGTCGGAATCGTACAAATAACTTATGATGCAGTCGGAATCGTACAAGGAACTTAGGATGTCGGAATAGTACAAGGGACTTATGATGCAGTCGGAATCGTACAGATAACTTATGATGCAGTCGGAATCGTACAAGGAACGTAGAATGTCGGAATAGTACAAGGGACTTATGTTGTTGGTATCGAACAAGGAACGTATGATGTTGTCGGAATCGTACAAAGAACTTATGATGTCGGAATCGAACAAGGAACTTCTGATGTTGGAATGATACTAGGAACTTAGGATGTTGGAATCATACAAGGAACTTAGGATGTCGAAATCATACAAGGAACTTAGGGTGTTGGAATCGAACAAGGAACGTATGATGTTGTCGGAATCGTACAAAGAACTTATGATGTCGGAATCATACAAGGAACTTAGGATGTTGTCGGAATCGTACAAACAAACTTATGATGTCGGAATAATGCAAGGAACTTAGGATGTTGGAATCGTATAATGAACTTAGGATGTTGGAATCTAACAAGGAACTTAGGATGTTGTCGGAATCGTACAAGGAACTTAGGATGTCGGAATCGTTTCATGGACAGGGTTTTTTCGCTTCTATTCTAAGACAACTTTTTTGAAAGGCGGATGCTACCGGTTGGGCAGGACATGTTGCCCTGTTCGCGAAAACCTGGTGTCGTCACTGATAATCCGTGATCCATTCATATAAGTTCACAGCTAGTTTTCCCTATGGACAAAACTGAATGTGTTTCTGAGGATAGTCAAGACTGGGGTTTATTTTGCACTGACGTTCTATGCTTACTTAAACGTAAAGAGGTTAGCCAAATGGGCAGATGCCTGCGTGGGGACCTTTCCTCATACAATATAGATGAAACAACTATGAACAAAAGAAAGATGCATCCAAATATTGCGTTACTTTCGGAGAGGTTAGGAACAAGACTTAAGAAGTTAACCACCTTTTGAGCTTGAAGTACTTAAAAGACTTGTCTTCACAATAGTTATTATAAGTCGTAATGGTTCGCACACCTTTGACATCACCATATAGCCTTCATTAAAAACTCTTATCACTTGGTCTTCAGTTTCAAAGTAATAAATAGGCACACGGAAATATTATTCTGTTTAAGTTTGAAAATTGATGTGTTGAATTTGTTAAAATGGCAGCAGCGCATAAATATTCAGTTACCAAAATATGTGAGTTGCTGGATTTTTTCTGATTGACATTATCGATTTTCTAATCTTGAATTTCCACTTCATGTCGTGCAATAGACAATCAGTTCCAGCTTTGGGGGTTCAAATTCAACAACTGCTGAGGTACACAAGAGACTGTTCATTTTATTAAGTTCCGTTTTGCTTAGAACTGAACTTTTCAGTCAATGTTTTACCGTCTATGGCCTGGTTATGTCATTCAATATATCTTATAGTAGACATTCAAACAGGCTGGAACGCAAAAATGGCATTTCCAAAATCCTAAGAGAAAACTTCCCAAAACGTAGATCACTGTGCCATTCAGACTATGTCATAAGCATATATAAATCACCTGAACGTACAATCCAAATAAGGGAATTGCGTCAAACATTGTTTTAATGATGAGTCAAATTTGGAAAAGGCCCCAATGTGATTTCCATAACAATTTCAAATCTACATGCATACACACATGAAAATTACGGTATAACCTGAAAGATATGTTAATTATTTAGTGTTCAAAAAGGCTTTATTCACCAAAGATACCCACAGGGAGTTATTGCAGATCCCGTTATACATATCGCTGGAGATGTAGGAATTGTACAGGAATGAGGATCTTCCTCCAAAATGCCTAAATGCATCACAAACAGTTGTCGTGTGTGAGGTTTATGACTGCACACATACACTCTTTCAATGGATCAATACTCAAGTATTCAGGACACTCCATTTAACATATTCTTAATAATGGATCACACATGACATCTGTTAATGTTTTATTCAACAGATCCACAAGGAAATATGAGTATATGCACATTAGACATCAGTACTGTATTTTGTTTACATAATGTAGCGTTTTGCGATTGTAACAGATATACTGATGGCAAAGAAAGTATGCACATGTTTGATGATTTCTGAAAATGAAAAAAAAATGAAAAGACATTCAATACTTATGTATTTGGCGCGGGTGTATTTGTCTATTTTAGAATGTTTGCCATGTTTTGACCACTACTTCAAGTCCAGTAGCGTTTTGATAGTCTTTGTACGAGTAATTTGGTGAGTCCAATCAATTTCCAGTGATACTTCAGCTGTTACATTTTTACTTCAGCTATACCAAGTTGTGTTAGTTTCGTGTTGGAGGAACGCACGAAGAATTCCGTTTTTTGCTGGTTTGTTGTTTGGAACCTTAGTTAAGCTGCTTGAAAATTATTTCACAAAATCGATATTCAAGGTGAGCACACGAGCTTATCAGAACGAATTACGGTTATTGCATGCGTGCCAACCACCTTTGATATATTTGTATCGGTAAGAAGTACGTGTTCTGGTTTTTCTTTTAAGGGGACAAAACTACAAACAATTGGGTCAACCCATAGGCACTGTGTCCAGAGCTTTTGGACAAACAATAGGCTGTACTGCAGACGTATGCGGACAAGAACTCTATTGCTGAGATAGTATTATATAGACAACTATAGGTTCGGTTTCAGAGCTAGGTGGGCAAAACAGACTCTATTTCAGAGGTATCTGGAGATCAATACCCTCTATTTCAGACGTATGTAGACATAAATAGGCTCTACTGAAGAGGTGTGTATGTAACAGGCTCCATTTCAGAGGTGTTAAACAACAGACTCTGTTTCGGAGGCATGTAGAGACAAATAGGCTCTATCGCAAATAAGATCGCGACTCACAGCTACAGAGCCACGAACGTATTTTATAGCCTTATGATGCACGAGAACAGGTCATCCTGACGCAAGTGTTCAAGGGTTACTATTCCACTTACAACATCTTTAAAATGTCCAAAGTGTTTTCTGTGGAAGTGTATGCGCGGAGCATATAAATAAATAATATATTCAATAACAAGGGGCGACATCAGAATTTGTAATGTGTTTTCTATTTTCTTAACGTTTTTATAGAATTTTAAAGACATTTTTTAAAACAACGATGGTTACGGTTTTATGCCTTTAACCTTTATACGTAAAATTAATTTTACTGGAAAAGCTTCAAATTATCCTGATCAGTTCTAATGCACAGGTCGTCACGATATGGCTTAAATATTGCCCATGTAACGTTAAATTTGAACTCACTCACTCACTCTAATGCGCAGACTCTTTCACCAAATCATTGCAGATGGCTTTAGGGATAGAATAGGTCCCTAGAAATTATTAAGGTGGTCAGGGTTGGTGAATTGGTTGACTGCATGTCACCATATCCCAATGTTAGGATAGAAGCTCATGACATCAATCATATGATTATCTGGCCCACGTTCAGTTGAGTGAGTGAGTGAGTTAATATTTAACGTCACATCGGCAATATCTAAGCCATATCGTGGCGAATCCCACGTTCAATTATTTACGGACTGCTTTCAGAAGGTATATACATTTTTGAGGTATTAACAACAAAGAAACTAATCTTACTCCTTCAGTTTTGGAAGTAGTATTGCACACTAAGGAATTGCACATTATATATGTTATAAGTAACTTCATATCACATAATGCTAAAACCATATATTGACGAACTTATAAAAAAAATTTCATGGGATTGTTTCCATATAAGGTCTTGATAAGACAAATGAACCATCAGTTCTTCTTGAACACATTAGTAGTGGGTGAGTTTAGTTTTAAGCCGATTTTAACAATGAACACATTAGTAAGACGCACAGGCATGACTATGAATAACCTGCACACAAAATTACGATCCACTTCACGGGTCATGATGCACAATATTTACTGAAATGTCATTCGATTTTTAATATACAAATTGAAAACGTCAAAGGCAGGACACTTAGTCTCGAGTAGCTCTCAAACAAATTCCATACTGCGCAAAATCAAAACTGGTGAATTAACATGAATATATAGCTGTAAATGAATTATGACACCGATTGATCACGAAAAGGGATGCTGACCTAGTGATGGCGCCCTATTTAAATAGTTTTCACCCAAATATATAGTAAGCGCCATTCAAAATGGAAGTGCGAAAACTACATGTAATTTTTAAAGTTATATCTTGATACACTATCGCGCATCACCAAAATCCTCTGAGGTCGACCATACAAGTTTTGAAATGGCCGAGCATATGACGGTCAAACATCTCAAGTTCTTTTACAATTTATTTGATCTCACTGAGTATACCAACTGTTTAATACAATAGGTAGATTACAGACAGGATACAACTGTATATCTACTTTGTTAACATGCTACAATTAGCTACAAATAATATACAGAAAACCCTTGTCAGAAATTCAGTATGGGTTAACAATCCATCGGCAATACCTTCGTTACTTTAAAATGCTCAAAGCACACCTGATACAGGTATTTAAAACTACCTGTCCGGGAAATCAATTCATAAGAACACATTTCAGTTATATTAAAAAAGACACACAAGACATCAAACGCCCAATAATACATGTATGATACGGAACGAAGCTCTGAGACGAAGAAGACTTAACTTACATGCTTCTTGTTCGGGCTTTAGTAACAGGTGTAAAGGTGAAGAGAGGTGATCCGTTTTTCTCAAGCTTCCTAGTCTTTAAGCATAAAAGTTCCAAAAGGCCCGCAACCCTGTTCGCCTTTCCCTGTGCAACGGCCGAGCTTCAAGTGAGAGCTCCTTTTAAAGAGATAAAACTTGCGGGGGGCTCATTAATCAACCTCGTGCATTGACAAGCCCAGAGGACTGCGGAGAGTCAGTCTCCGCTAATCATATCATCGATAAGGAAGGCCGGGGAATTCTCCAGTGTAGAGGCGAAAACTCTCCACCTCCCCCTCCCACGAGCCTCGTCTCCACATCTGCTAAGCATGTCAACAGGATGAGTCTTTGGAAAATTAGACAATCATAAGAATTCGAATGAGACAGATCATTTAAAGATGTCCCAGAAGCGCGTATGGAAGACGATCGTCAGTCGTACAGTTCAACTCTTTTGTTTGTAGTGATACACTGAGGTAGCATTATTCGTAGAGTAACGGCGCCTATCAACAAACAGTCAACTGCTTATGAAAGTATTCTGAATGAACAATTTAGTGACAAATGACATAACAGATGGTTTCTGTCTAGTTATTTGAAACCACGTACACTTCCAGTGTCACGTCTGTTCTTTATTCCTATATACTCATGCCAATAATGGTTGTCACCCCCTTCATTTTTTTTAATTATTGGCATGAGTATATTTACATACTTTCTCTATATTTTTCTTATACGTATCTGTTCAGAGGGCAAGTGGTCAATGCGCTAGCTGCTGAAGACCTGGGTCGATTATTCTTAAACCTTAACGTATATTGCTGGTATTATAGATCCTTTATTCAGCCTTCTGGGGAAGGTGTCACAGGTTTTTAAAGACGGTATGGACCACTATGGACTTGAAATCTAACAAATGATAGAACATGATTGGAGATGTATTGTGTGTTTGTCAATGAGAGATTACTGAAGTAAATCTTGTATTTTGAAAACATGAAATCAAATAAATTATTAATATGGTTTGCGTACGTCAATGCCAATTGCTGCAAGGGAGATGTGGGATTGGGAGGGATGATGTCCTGCATCCCATGAATGGCTCCTGAGCGTGTCTTGAATGGAATACCTGAAGGGTTGGCCAAAACAGTATTGACTCACCCACTCACAGGACTGTGAATATATCGGAATAATGTTTATCTTCCAATAAATCATGAAGAAAAATCTGCAAATATCATAATGTCACATCATAATTCAATATCCCTAAACTAATAACGCTTGCATGTAACACGTGTATCTATAGTTGTGAGAAAGTTAGGGAGTGAGTGAGTGTGAAGGAAGTTTTGCGAGGGTTGACCGCAGCGTTGATCGGTTATGCAATTTTTTTTCACTTCGCTTTACAGTGATCCGTGAAGATCCGGGTTAGAATTGGTCTTCAGCAACCCATGCTTGTCGTAAGGGGAGACTAACGTGATCGGGTGGTCAGGTACAGACTCGATTATTTACAGAGCTGGACCAGGCAATTTATATAGCTGGAAGATTGCTGAGTGCGACGTTAAACCAACCAACTTCACAGTATTTATTTGGCGAATTAAACAGTCGGCACATCTCCCTGAGGGTCATCTCACAAGCCTGGACTATTGACTGACCAAAGAGTGAGTGAGTTTAGTTTTACGCCGCACTCAGCAATATTCCAGCTAAATGGCGTGGTCTGTATATAATTGAGTCTGGACCAGACAATTCAGGGATCAACAGCATGAACATCGATCTACGCAATTGGGATACGGTGGCATGTGTCAACCAAGTCATCGAGCCTGACCACTCGACTCCGTTAGTCGCCTCTTACAAGCACGGGTTGCTGAAGATCAATTCTAACCCGGATCTTCACGGGTGACTGACTAAAGAGGAAAACAGGGCGAATATAAGTAAACCTTGATACACATATTAATGGTATTATGTTAATTTGAATATACTGAGATGATGGACATATTGTAAGTGAAGTTATGTGTAAGGTTAAATATGGAATGGAATGTGTTGTTTTAGAACAGAATAGTTCTAAAATGTGATGTAGTTGTAACAATTAAATGCAGCCATTCAGCTCTCCTGTTTGAGAACCTGTTCTATTGACTGAACCATTTACTGCAGTAAGACCCTTGCAAAAGCCTGTCCCAAGCCGTGCAGACCCGAAGTGAGTAGATCCATGTTCATGATGTCAATCACTTGATTGTTAACACTCGAATATTTATAACGCTGCCATATAGCTCGGATATTTCCTCGTGAGGCGTTAAACAACAACGAATAAATCAGTCTATATGTACTGTCATCGATTTTGTCGGATTAGGTGCTAAAACGTCAGATATCGAATGACTGTTTATTAAATAGCCGTTCTATTCAATTGCTTGCTGTGCGAAGTTCATTAATGTGGAATAAATATATATATTTATCATCCAAAACTGTGTTCCACAGTAGATATCGCTTGTGTTGTAGATCAGACGATATCTCCTAGGAGATATCGTTTTGACAGTAGATTTTGTACAATGCCTGACAATGCTATGACGTCATGAACTTGTTGACGTCACAATGTTATGACATCGCTGCACTGCAAACCTAATGGCAGTACTGTGTTCAGAGATGTACAATTTTCATTGAAAACTAATGAAGAGTGATTTTTTATGATAAATAGAATCTCACCCTCGTGTCTTCTGATATCAAATATATCAACACTCGTTGATAAAAGTAAAAATATCCTCGGCAAGCCTCGGATATTTGTTACTATAACAACTCGTGGTGGTATATTTGATATCAAAAGACACTCGGGTGAGATTCTCTATATACCGAATTTGTACTCCATAATAGTTCCGTTATTTAGTCAAGTAGGATCTTATAGCAAAAAAGATGTATCCGTTTGATTTCTGTTTCTCTTCTTTTTACGTTTAACATATTTTTTTTCTGTTCATTTCAGCCCACGAACCGAGAACACTTTTATAGCAACCCTTTACTAACCCTTGAGAAATCTAGCCAAGTGATCTAAAACGAATCGGCAGTAGTAGTTGTAGTAGTAGTAGTAGTAGTAGTAGTAGTAGTAGTAGTAGCAGCAGCAGCAGCAGTAGTAGTAGTAGCAGCAGTAGTAGTAGTAGTAGTAGTAGTAGTAGTAGCAGCAGCAGCAGCAGGACTAGGAGTTGAAGTATAACTAGCATTAACAGGATGCCTGGTTTTGTCGGCAAAGTTCCATAAGTGAAAATGACCTCGAGCCATTATTGAAGCCTCGTCTGGAAGATCGTTGAACGAAGTCAATCTTCGAGATGCCACTGTAACTTCACACTTAAGCCACAAAATGTTCACACAATGGAACCAGATGTACAAACATTCTTTCTTTTAATGAAAAACGTTTTCCTGATTTTCCTCCCGAGCAGCAAAGGAAATAAGCAAGCGTAAATCAATGGATAATTGGGGATGTGGAATATTGCATGATCCACCAAGAACAAACCAGTATCCCTTGACTTATCGATGTATAATACTTACTCCTAAGTCTCATTATAATAAATACAAGCTATTAAAACATAATGTATGTCCTCATTCTGTCTTGAATGATTGTTAATATCTTGTGAACTGTTTCGAACCAGCTAACCTTCCGCTCTGCTGAGGTAAGATTCAAGCAGATAACAACATATCCAATGGCTCGGAACATCTAAAACACTAAAAACCACATTGCACTTATTTTTATTCCAGCCCTCCCGGTTCTGGTAAAAGAGAAAAGATCAAGATCATTACTTGTACAGGATAAAGAAACGCGCTTGAGTGATTAACAACGTGTGTGCAGTGTGACACTCGGAACCTTTACGCTCTTTGATTTATCGATTAGAATGGTCTGCCACATCACTTCAACATATTACTCCGCGCAATTGTGAATGAACGTGGCTGTTTGCACACTTCATTAGGCTCGTTTGATCTGGTGATGTTAGGAGCTCTAAAACTTCATTTACAAGTCCACGTGTCAACAGCAATATGGTTCAAAGGCAAGGTCTATTCTCCAAACAGCGCTAGTTTTCTCACAAAACACGATGACGCCCTTGTCGATCAGATGGGCGAGACGAGATTGAGGGAGGAACTCCGATCCGACCGACTAGGTGTGCGGTACATCTTGACAGGCCATCAGCTCAAGATTTACGCAGCAAGGATTTGACAATAGATAACAGCATAGGGTTAGAATTACTGAAATTGGATTTCCTTCAGCAAACATTACAGACTGAGGTGCCAGAGCGTTTCTAAAAAAAATGAAATTTATTGCTTGTAAAACGTCTAGTGTTAAGTGGTACTCAAACTGACGTAAGTCAGTGTACACATCCGAGGCATGGCGAAAGGCACAACACGTCAAACAGATTAAGATTCTAAAGATCATCGTGTGCCCTTTATTTACATTACTAAGATGCATAATATGTGCGTACTTCCAGGTAATAAGAAGCGAGACCAGTCTTGAAACATTATTTGCATAAGTAAATTGGTTGATTTGCTCTGTTATAGCTGAATACTAAACGTGAAAATTATTTTCACCTGTGCCTTTTAATTTCAGAATTTAACTATACAATCTACTATTGAACAACTTGTCACAATACGGGTTAGAAATGGTCTTCACTAATTCATGCTTGTTGTAAGAGGCGACTAACGGGATCGGGAGGTCAGGCTAGCTGATTTGGTTGACACATATTACTGTATCTCAGTTGCGTAGATCGATGCTCATGATGTCTATCACTGGATTGTCTGGTCGAGACTATTATTAACAAACCGCCGTCATACAGCTGAAATATTATTGAATGTGGTGTTAAACAGAAAACAAATGGTTAAACAGCCGTAGCAGTTGGTGTATGATGTCACGATTACGTAACTGAACCAGTTCTCTAAGTCTGACGTCACAAAATATCTACAGGCGCAAATTGCGCACAGTCGACGTACAAACACACACACACACTACTGGTGCCAGACGCTTATTTCGCCAAGAAACATTTATGAAGGTATAATATTCTTTATATTCCATCCCTGTGGACGATACTAGGGTGTCCAGTCTACCACGATGCGGCAACGTATTATCTGCTTAAAATGGTTTGCTGGCAACGTGTCTGTAAGGAGTGTCTGCAGACTACATGCACTGAGACAAAGAGTTAACTGCGCTGGTTAGCGTGGCCGGTCAGTTCAGATAGTCATTGTTTGTGGGTACAATGTGTGAAGCCCATTTCTGGTG